TGGTGCACGCGGCGGGCAGCAGGCTGCCCGTCTCCCTCACCGCTTACTCTGTGATAGGTGCGGGTGGCATTGGCGCTGGAAGGACTGGCGCCGCCGCCGCCGTGCCCGCCGCCTCTGCTGGAGAGCGCACAGCAGCGGGGCACGCAGCGGAGCCTGCTCCTGTGCTGGGCGTGCCCGCGGGCCTCTGCTCGCCGCCGGGGCGCTGGCGGCATCGCTCGCGGCGGGGCCGCTGCGGCCGCCAGCGGCCACCCGTTTCAGCCCCGGCTGCTCAGCAACGTGTTGAGCCTCCCTGCTCACCAATAACGTTGCACCCCCCGCCTGCAGGCGCCGCCGCCTTCCTGGGGGGCAGCACGCGAATGACGATGACCACGACCGTCATGGTGATGGAGACGACAGGTGGGGAATTGTAAAGTACTTGGAAAGTACCGTCTTGCGCATTTGAAAATTCGAAGTGGGAAGTTTGGCTGGGGGGGTGGATGAGGCGCGCTCCTGAAGCTGCCCTGCCCGCAGCTGCTGGGCCTGGCCTGCCGCCCTGTTTCGCTCTTGAGGCGCAAGGGCTGGGGTGGCTGCCACCCTGCTGGCCCTGCAGGAGCGCTGCAGCTGATCGTGCCGCTGATGCTCACCGTCTTCTTCGCAAAGGTGGAGGGGGGGTGGCGCCGCGGTGGCCGGCGTGGAGGGGAGGGGGAGGCCCAGCCGGGCGCACCCCCTGCGCGTCGCCACCTCCCACACCTGTTTTCTTTCTCGTGTCTGACAGCCCTGCCTCTCTTTTGTGGTGTCTTGTTTGTTGTTTTGTTGTTTCTGGCCGTGCCTGCGCAGATTGTGGGGGACCGGTACGGAGTGGGCATAGACGACACGCACGTGCGGCTGCGCGGCGCCCCCGTGCTGGATGAGCCCGCGCTGGACGTGCACCAGCAGGCGCGGCGCGGCTGTGGGGGAGCCGCGGGGAAGCTGCGGGGCAGCTGCAAGGGGGCTGCCTGCCTCCCCACCTGGCCTCATTTGTTTTTTGTTTTTTTTGTTTTGGATATGCCCAGCTGCTGCAAAGCCCTGCCCTGCTCCTGCTCGCCATCACCCTCCGCTCGCCGCCACCCCCCACCTGCTCCCTGCTGCCCTCTTCCCCCGCCCCCGCCCTACAGATGATAGACGACAAGCTGTCTGTGAGTGAGCTCATGACCACCTCCCTCATCGCCCTGCCGCCCGTGGTGCCCGTGCGGCGCCTGGTGGACACCCTACGCATGTGCAACCACCAGGCAAGGGCCAAAGGGCGCAGACGCGAGGCTGGGGCGGCCGGCTGGGGCTGCGCGCGCCGGGCGCCGGCTGCGTGGCGGCGGGACGTGCAGCAGCCGCGGATGGCTGCGTGGGCAGGCCGGCAGGGGCGGGCACCTCCTGCCTGGGACCTGTGGGCTGTTAGTTCCAGCCCATCTGCAGCCACTCCGGGAGTCCTGCCCGCTTCAGAACAGCTTCCGATCAGCTTCCGATCAGCTTCATGATCGGGACACGCCGCCGCCCGCTCCGCCTGCCTGCCCGCAGGCCTTCCCGGTGACGCCAGAGGTGGACAAGGCTCTGGGGTCAGAAGGCGCGCATGTGCCGCGCGCGCCCCGCCGCAGCCGCTGCCTCCCAGCCCCAGCCGCCGCTGGCGCGCCGCGCCGGCCGCCGCCTGCCCGCACTCCCTACCTTCCTACCTACCTCATCCCTCCCTCCCTCCTTCCACTCCCTCCCTCCCTTCCTTAACTGACTTACCTCACCCCTCCCTCATACCCCTCCCCCCCCTCCCTCTCTCCCTGCCTGCCCCGGCCCCGGCCCCTGCAGGCGAGCCCTTTGAGCTGCACGGCGTCATCCTGCGCTCCACGCTGCTCTACCTGCTGCGCTCGCGGCGCGGCCTGCTGGACCCGCAGCGCAGCAGCGGCCTGCCCGCGCGGCAGCCACCCGGCGGCAGCGGCGGCGGCGGCGGCGGCGGCGGCGGCAGCTTCCCGGGCGGGGCGGTGCTGTCTAACGGGAGCGTGGACTATGCGGCGGCCGCCGCGGCGCAGCAGCTCGAGTGAGTGTCGTCTCGTTGGCGGCGGCGGCGGCGGCGGTATGGGTGTGGGTGTGTCGGCGGGCGTGGTGGGGCGGCAAGGGGCGTGGCAGGAGAGAAATTTGGGGGCTTGCGCTTGATCCTTGCTGGCTGGCCTCGTGCTGCCGCCAGTCCCTCTCTCTCACGTGGCTGGCACCTCACCGCCTCGCTGCGTGTGTGCCGGCCTGGCTGCAACCCGCCCACGCCGCGCCCCTCCCCCTTGCCGTGCAGCGAGCGGCAGCACGTGCCGCGCACGCAGGCGGAGCGGCTGGCCGCCGTTGAGGAGATGCAGCAGATACCGCTTAAGGTGGGTGCGGACATTGGTGTGAGTTGGCGGCGGCGGCAGCGTGTGCCTCCCCGCCTCGCGCCTCGCCTCCCCACCACTGTGCCCTCC